GAGAGAGAGAGAGAGAGAGAGAGAGAGAGAGAGAGAGAGAGAGAGAGAGAGAGAGAGAGAGAGAGAGAGAGAGAGAGAGAGAGAGAAACTTAACTTTGTTCCCTTAAGAAAGTACCTGTGGTGAGAACTCGTCTGGCTGCTGCTGCGGTGGATAGTATGGTATCTGCAAAGCAAAACCACATTAGCAAACACCATAGGGTAAGCCAATAAGTCTCCGTCCGTGTGTGAAAGCGAGACTGAGGGCAAATGCGCACTTGACTTGTTCACCTGACCTCGGGACATACTCATGGTCCGATACATCCAGAACTGGCCATAAAAGCGGTCAGATACATGCAGGAAAGTCCTAGTGTGAGCATGTCATGACTATTGGATTGGTCAAGCAGTTCACTTTGTGACACTGCTTTTCTAGCTCCACAAGGTCCACAACAATTTCACAATCAACACAAGTGGTTAACGGGGATGCCCACTTTCAACTCCTGAGTAACGGGTCGAAAAGGGTGATGTTGAACAAAGGTCCAAAAGGTGAACACTTCGTGGTAGAAGTCAATGTAGGTGGCCGAAAGGTTGGCGCCTTCGCAGGCATAGGTTCTACGTGAAACTTCATGAGTCGTGCTTGTGTGGATAAGCTGCACTCAGGAGACCAAGTGCAGCGGCTTAGCAGATCTGTAGCATCTACCTTAGCCAACAAGCACTCCATGATAGTGAAAGACTATGTCACGAATGTAGTCTGTACCTTCTCGTATGGAGGAGGGGAACTGAGACACAAGATCTCATTCCTAGTTAGTGACAAGCTGCCATTCGACATGTTACTAGGCATGCACTACCTCGAGGTTGCTAAGCCTCAGTTCGCTTGTGTACTACCTCGAGGTTGCTAAGCCTCAGTTCGATTGGGATAGGAAGGTGATGATCCACAAGTTGCCAAATGGAAGGACCATTAGGCTGCAGAAGTTCAAGGCTGGCAGACTAGTGGAGAACTATGGTTGCATGTGCGCATCGTCTTTCTATAACTATTATAAATAGCACGGCGGGGAGGGAATGTACCTAGTCTTTGTCTCTGAGCAAGGGGAGGCCGTAGAATCGCCCCCAGAGATGGAAGCAGCCGTTGCGCAATACTCAGACCTCTTTGAGGAGCCTACGGATGTGGCAGAAAGGGAGATCCCACGCGATATAGGTCGTCCCTGGTAGCGAAGTACCTAGAGGGCGGTGTCGGGGCAAATACCCTGACAAGGGTATTTGCCGGGGGGTTTCAACGTCGCACGTTGTGTGACTCTTTCGTTGAATTGAAGGACTTGATGAGACGACGTTTGCCAAAAGTTTATTCAGACCTGACATATGACTGGCAGACTAAAAGTTTTTGGACGTTAGTCCGAGCGCGTGTGGTGTCCAGGAGTAACGGATGTGAATGGTAATGCTTCGCTTTTGTCGAAGCCGCCGGAAAATGCGGACATGGGAACGGTAAACTAAACCTATTCTACCTAGAGTAATGTAGCGCGACTGTTAAGCCGCGCAATTCAGGGCCTGAATGGGCTAAAAAGGGGGGATGCGCCGGGTATAGGGCCGCGGTGCAGAAGGAATGGGGAGTTTTTTGTCTGGGCCGCGGAGATTGACATCGAGCCACGGGGCTGATGGGCCGATGCCACGCGGCCTGCCAACGGGGTAAGGCCTGCCGGCAAGGCCGGCAAGACCACAGGCAGGCGGGCAGGGCCTGCGAGGCCACGGGCAGGCAGGGCTTGCAAGGCCGCAGGCAGGCAGGGCCTACCAGGCCACAGGCAGGCATGGCCTGCAAGGCCACGATATGGAGGATAGGGACAGGGCGAGGCTCTTCATATAGAAGAGCTGCTCCTATCACTATTGTCATAGGAGCTAGCCCAGTAGGATACAGTGCAGGACCCTTACCTGATGGATACCAGGATCGAATCCCAAACGCCGTACCACTGGGCCGACTCCTTTTGGAGCTGCCCTTTTCCAGTATGAAGTGACGCGGTCGATTTCGACCGCTTGATCTCTGAGATCACGTGGCCGAGATTGGCCGCGCGCGAATCAGTATGGCCCTGTGCAAGGATGACACGCATAAATCGAGAAACGGTCCAACTCGTTTAAGTCCATTAGGACTCGAACCCAGATCTACATATCCGCAGACCGTGGGAAGTGACCGTTGGCAATAAGATAACGACGAAAAAAAAAAGAAAAACTAACTAAACCAAAGACGAAGACTATTAGTCCCCAGAGCTGTAACAGGCGCCCGTCGTGGACGGGCAGCCGTTTTTTTCTCTAAGGTAAGTTCGTTTAGTTTTTTCTCTTTTCTTTTTTGGTTTTTTTCTCTAGATTTCGTTTTAGATTTTTTTTTAGATTTTCTTTTAGCTTTTGTTTAGATTTTCTTTCTTTCTTTTTTGCTTGGCAATTCGATGGAAGCACCCGTTCGTTTTTGGACGAACGGGGTGGGAAAAAAAAAAAAAAGGGGAAGAGACAAAAAAAAGAACGTGACTGTGCGGGCTGTTTTGTCGGACTCACACCGACTCATCAGGAGGCTGAACCTCGACAGCCTGGTCGGGAACAAGTGAATCCACCCTAGATCGTGGATTTATGCGCTGCCGCGGTATGTGTGTGTGTGTGTGTGTGTGAGAGAGAG